TCAGATCACAGACATACCTGTATAACTTGCTACAATGAAATCCCCCAATATCACTCCAGATCCCCATTAATCCATCTTACTACCAAAAAAACTCCATATCCCCAGATATCCTATGATCATGATCAAAGAATTTCATCCGTTTTCAGCGCCGAAGGCGAAAATTTGAGATGTGGAAAATCAAGAAACCAGATTTTTTCCATTTATTGTGAGGGTATTTTCGAAAAATTGCGTGAAAATTGCGTGAAAATCATGGAAATCCGCAACCCCCAATTGCAAAACCCCGCAATTTACGCAATCCGCAATTGCGTGCAGCCCTGGTCAAGACAAGAGTTCTAGACCAAGGATGGGCCGTAATGCATTAAAAAATAGGAAAACGGAAAAAAGCAGAATTCTGCGGACAGTGGAAGAAAGCCATCTCTGCCCTAAAGCAACGTGTAATGCGCCGGACAATTAATTTTGTTCAGTGAATTTTGTTATATCCCTAGCCTGGATCAACCAGATAAACAAATAAATTAAAAAATTTAAGGAAGGTAATATAAGAAAACCAATAGCCATTGAAATAGAGAAGCAACGACAACAACAAAGATTATTTACTGGAAAACACAGAAACCACAACAATCAAAATCACCAACAAAAAGAAAATGAAAGCAACAAAACAACTTGGAATAACGAAAGATGGAAATTATAAATTAAATTTTTTATTAAAATTTTTTTCACCCAAATGCTTTATTAAAAATTAAATTAAATACTTGTATTTATTAAATAAATTATTATATATTATGTATTTTTATTCTGATTTTTGTATTTTATTCTTTTATTTTGTGTTTTGTTGTTTTTAATAATTCTGATTGTTTATTTTTATATTGTGATAAAAATTCTGATTTATTTTTTTGTTTTTATTCTGATTTTTATAATTTTTAGCCTTTCCGATTTTCTTTAAAATTCTGATTTTTTTAAAAACCAGAATTTTGTAATTATAAGGATTGATATTTGTCAGAAATCTTGCCGTCCCAATTCTAGAACAAACTTGGATAAATAATAATCAAAATTGGACATCAGCGGTTTTAAAACCGGAATTTATGATATATTTCTGGGCGTAAAATAAAATCTATTTAATATATAAAAACATATTTATCTTCTTAACTAAACATATATTAATACATCCTGTAAGCCACCCTTCTCTGCATGGTACGGAAATATTTTTGAATAGGGAGTCTTAACTCCCTAAATTTTAGAAGAAATATCCTTGTACTAAAGTTTCATAATTAAGAGTTAATACTTGGATCGCTTAATTCGTTTACCATATTTTCTCTAATTGAGCGTCCCTCTGCATTAAATGTGATTTATTATCTTTAATTTCTCTCTTTTTACGTTAGTAACTGTTTAACAACTTAATTTTAAGAAAATGAGTGATTCCTACATTGATGTTGTGAATATTAGTAATTCTGAAGAAAACCCATGTCTACGCATAACAATAAATTTCGCCGTTCATACACAATAGCTCAGACTTCAAGCGGTTTCTTTGGCGTTTTGCGTTTTATTTAATGAATAAAATCTTTTTCTAACATTTTCTTCTGCCAAATATATTGTGTATGGAAAATAGAGCGGCCGCCTCCATTTAAACAGCCGTCTCTACCACTCTATTAGAGAAAATACGGTATATGAGAAAATCAGAATTTTTTATTTCTAAAAATTCTGATGTATAAATTTACTCTTCAAAGGCAAGAATTTATTCAAAATATAATAGAAATCAAAAACGAACGAAAAAAGTGAGTGGCCATAAACAAGGACAATACAAAAATACCATGAAAAAAATAAGTGAACAAAAATTATTGTAAATTACAAAAAAATTGTCTAAACAAATCTACTTTAAAAAAGAATGTGATCAGCAGTGTTTGGGACATTTGTATTAACAAAAATCAGAATTTTATGAAAATCGGAATTTTTTTTGATAATTCTGAAAAACTCAGAATTTTTGCTAAAGAAAAATCAGAATTTATTCCAAGAAAACAGAATTTCTTAAAAAATCAGAATTTTGCTTATTAAAAATCAGAATTCCAAAAAATCAGAATTTTTCTCATAAGAAATCATAATTCTGAAAAATCAGAATTTCTCTAAAAATCAGAATTATAAAAATAAATAAATTCTGAAATTTTGCCCAAACACTGATTAAATAAAGGAAAAAATTGAATAAATGCTTAATTCTTTAAAAATGTATTTTTTTATATTAATCAAAATGAGGTCAAAAAATATTTATAAAAATTCAAAAAAATTAAGTGAAAGTCCATTAAATACAAATCAAGGCAAGAAAAGACATTGTTTATAGCCGGGTATGTTTTACGGCAAGAATGGATTTAATAAAAATACATAAAAATTGCAGCCTGAGTATTTAAATAAATAAAAGTATAAATTGTAGTGTAGGGATGACTCTGATTTTGAACTGAGAAATAAATTAAGAAAATCAGAATTTTATAAAAAGAATATTTTAGAGATTCTGATTTTTGTGTTTCTTATTTATGTGTTTTTAAAAAAAACCAGAATTTTGCAAAAATACAAAAATCAGAACTTTCGTCGTAATAAAATACAAAAAATCAGAATTTTCAAAAACACAGAATCAGAATTCTAGGAAAAGAATATTTCAGAAATTCTGATTTTTGTATTTCTTATTTACATGTTTTTTTAAAAAATCAGAATTTTAAAATAAAAAAGTCAGAATTTTTAAAATACTTTCAAAAAAAATCAGAATTTACGTTATAATAAAACACAAAAATCAGAATTATCAAAAATACAAAAATCAGAATTTTCGAAAATACAAAAAATCAGAATAAAAACACAAAAATCAGAATTTTCAAAACAAAAATCAGAAATTAAATTCAGTCATACCTACATTAAGTATAAAAACATTGGAAAATCAGGCGACACGCTTATTTATATAAAATACATTAACTCGGAATTCAATAAAATACATAAAGCATACATAAATAGAACAAAAATTTTTCAGTTAACGTGATAAATGATAACGTTTAAAAAATATATACTAACAGAGCCAACTCCCATATATAATGAAACCTCGTCTATAATAGACTCCTCCTCATGTCAGTCAAGAAAATTTTTTCTGAAAATTTTGAGAAATTTCTTTTAAAAAATTTTTTTCGTTTCCATTATTTACAAGAGTTGACCACTTAGTAAAAAAATCCATTCATTAATTTTAAAAAATTCAAAAATAATTATTTTAACCAACACACTCCTCCCTCCCTTTATTTATTCCTTATTCCCTCCATTCACTTCCTCTTCATTCCCTTTAAAATCAGAATTTTGTTTCTCGTTCCTTTCAATTTCAAAAACATCATCAGTCTGTGTTTGAACACTCACAAACACTCTTTTTTGCTTCTTCTTTTTCTCAGCTTTTTTGGTTGTTATAGTACTACTATATTCACTCATTTCTTCACTCTCTTTTTTAAGTTCAGCAGGTAAAGAAGCTGCAGCCTTGCTGGAAAGCCTAGAAATTTTTTTGAGAATTTTTTTAGAATTTTTAAAAAGTATTGAAAAAAAATTCTTGGTGCTTTGGTATTATCTCCCCATCTGTCCGCAAATTTTTGTCGTTACCTTCTTTCCTCATTCCATAAAAATTAAAATGGTCAAGGATTAAAAATAGTGAAAGTAAATATTAGCCAATTTTAAACTCTTAACAATTTAAAAATTTCAAATTATTTGATGTTAAGTTTGCGGACATGTGGGGAGATAATACCGTAGTATAAAATTTTTCGAAAATTTCAAAAAAAAATTTTTAGAAATTTTTTTTTAATTTTAAAATTTTTTGGAAATTTTTTTAATTTTTCAAAATTTAGACAAATTCTAAAAAAAAATTCTCCTCACTTATAAACAATATCATCCACATGAGCCCCCTTTCTTTTAATTGTATTGCTTAGAAAAGGAGTAGATTGAATTGAAGAAAAGCCCCCCAAATCACTGCTTGATTGGACTGAAGCTGTCCCTCCATTTATTTTCCCTCTTTTTGCCTTTTTTGGAGGGATTGAAAGAAATTGGTTTAGTCGATCTTGAAGGTTTTGTTGCTGGTTATTTTGTTGTGTTTGTTGTTGAGATTTTTGAAGTATAGCTACTAATAGAGCTGTAGATAATGATTGTTGTTGTTCGTTTGGAGTAGAATTAACTAAATTGTTTTTGGAAATATATTTTCAGAAAATTTTTTGAATGATCAGAGGTAGATCGGAAATGACGAAGGTGCCGGAAATCGGAACTGACGGAAATCGGAAATGGCTCAAATTTTTGGAAACCGGAAGAAGAAAACGTCGGAAAACAGAATTCCTACCGACCTACGGTCATGAGGAAAGAAAAACAATGACATATGTAAGTAGTTGACCTAACTATGATTGAAATTAAGAAAATTAAGAAACCGGACTGGGAGTGTCATACAAAATCGAGATCGATATCTCGAAATATCTTTTTTGTTTCTGATCTCGTTTCAGACCGACCTATAGTTGAGATAACCCGTTTATGTCCGAAATAGTAAAGAGAGTCGATAGGTAATAGACTTGAAGATTTTAAAATAGAGATCTCAGATCTTTCACAGAAATCTACAACTAAAAACTAAAAGAAGCCACGTTTCTACCCCGAATAAACTTCAAAAATTTATTTTAAAATAAAAATTCACCTATCCCTCCAACATGATTAAATGCCGAAGACTCTCCTCCATCAGAAGGAGAAGAGAAAGACGAAAACGAACTCGTATCAACATTAATAGAGCTACTATTACAACAATCAGAAGACGTGCACAAACTACTCCCTATTCCACTACTATTGTTGCTTTTAATAGAAGAAGAAATGTTTGGAGAATATGGGGAAGAAGAAACATTTGTTGTCGAAACATTTGTTTGAACAACATTTGTTGGGGAAACATGTTGTTGTTGTTGTGTTGTAATTAAATTGTCAACAGAATGTTGTTTTGGAAACAAAACAAAGTTTTGTTGTTGTTGTTGTTGTAAATTATTAAATGTTTGTTGTTGTTGTTGAGAAAATTCTGATGTTTGGATAAAACCAGAATTAAAACCAGAATTTCCCCCATTTTCTTCTCCCCCCTCGTTTAAATTTAAGTGAGGATTATTAGCTCTGAGAACCCCAGATTCTCGCAATAATTGTTCACGGACAGAGTCGTCGGCTACTAAAAAAAATTTTTTTTTGAAAATTTTAAAAATTTTGAAAATTTCTTTTACTATTTTTAAGAGCTTTAAGATATTTTGCATGTTCATATATTTTGTGTTCTGCAACATGACAACTTTTCAGGTGTCGAATCATTCCGGTTGTGCTGAAAAATAAATATTTTAATTAGAATTCGAGGGTTTTAATTAGTGACGAGAAAGGGGGATCATACGAGAATCGTACAAGACATTTCAAAAAATCTCAATCTCGATAACCAGTAATTTGTTCGAGATCTCGTCTCGATCGCGCTTTTTAACACTGAGTTTACTGGTTTTTGGAGCCAGAATATGCTCAGGTTTTAAACTAGAGGACCCATAAAAATTCCATTTGAGTGCTCAAAAGATTGGTTTTTTGACTAGATTATTACACACGGTTACCACACCCAAATTTCGACTCGATTTTCTAAAAAAGACAAGAATATTCCAAAAATTAAGCGACCCTTTTATTTTTTTAGAAAAATAATTAATTTGCCTGCTATTTGTAGCTTTAATAGTTTTCTGACAAATAGAGCAAGTAGCAGCCTTTTCTCCATTTGGTCTTTCCGAAAAGAACCGCCAAACTTCAGCTGTTTTAGCAGAAGAACCTCCAACACGTGGACGGCGTTGAATAGGTCTTTGGGTTGTTTTGACATTTTCAATTTGTTGTTCTGATTGTTGGGTTTTTTCAATGTTTTCATTCTGATAAAGAAAAAGAATGTTTTTGTAAACAAGTTTTTGAGTTTTAAAAGGGAAGTTTTAATGTTTTTAGGATGTTTTTTTGATGTTTTAGAATGTTTCTAGGATGTTTTTAAGACATTAATTAATGTTGATTGTAAAACAAACTTAAGGGTGTTTTTAAGTTTGTAAAACATCGAAAAAAACATCGATGTATTTGATGTTTTATGAAAAATGTTTCAAGTTTCAAAGAGTTCTGAAGCTTGTCATTAAGGTCGTCGGCTCATCCTTAAACCTCTCTCCTATTCCCACACTTTAAAATTGAAATAAATTTTTTTTTCAAAACCACACCTCTTCCTGCCCCTCCTCAACATCTTCTTCCTCCATAACAATAGAAAGATCAACCAAAAATTTTTCTTCATCCTCCCCCTTTACTCCATATAAATTTTGATGTTCTGGGTGTTGTAAATGCCTTTCTGGACTGTCCGTACCCGTTGAACTATTTTCTTCTTTGATTTGAGGGTAACCAACAATATTGTTTGGATTTCCAATTGCTAAATATATAATTTCTTATTTAGTTTTCATTTAATGTTTAGAGCAAATTTCCTATTTGTGTATCCGTTAATAAAACATTAATGATCGCTTTCGAATTGAAGTTTAGTTAATGGAAAGGTCGACTTTTTGATCTACGACTTTTGAGCTACGACTTTTTGAAGTCGTTTACACGTTAAACGATATCTTCACCTAGAATGATTGGCATTTTCAATAGTATCCTCGAATTGAGTATCTATTCATTAAATAAAGAACAGAAATGAGGATCAATCAAGGTTACGAGATACTTAGGAATTATTTAAAATTCTGAATTTTAAACATAAAAAAAATTTAAATTCACATTGTTGTCTAAGCAAAAGTCCAGAATTATTTATTTGATTATTGGAAGCAGCTGCTACAGCATTTCTTATTAATTGCTGAACTGCTGTTGCAAAATTGAAAGCTGGTGGTAGGCGAAATTCGGGAGGTGGAGAGAGATTCTAAGTCAATTGAAAAAAATTAGTTTAAGTCTAAATTTTGTTTAAGGGAGATTTTAAAGGGGAAAATTGTGAATTTGTGGCATAAGCTTGATTACTTCAAATTCCCGCAACAATCCAATAGCAAGGGATGTGCGCCAAAAAAACTCCAAAATCCGAAAAAAAAACAAAATAACGTTGTGCGCCAAAAACGCAACGCCAAAACGTCATGGCGCACATCCCTGCTTCTAGGTAAAGAAAACTTAGGAAAAACTTAACTTAATAAACTTGAAGCTTACAAACTTAAAAACACAATGAGCTTAACTTAAGTTTGTAATCTTAAGTTTTAAAAACTTAAGTTTTAAAGAAACTTAAATTCCCATAAAAATATTTAATCAGAAAAAAGACAATTTTACAACAACCGATAACTGCATATTAGCAACAATAGCAGCCAAAGACGGATTTGAAGCTGCCTGGTTTCTAGCCGCCAAATTAGCCAATAAATATTGCAATTGTGGAGGGGGATAAGTAATTTGTTGTCCAATATTGCTATTTTCATTTAACAAATTTTGTTGGGTGGAAGAGGAGGAAGAAGAACTTCCAGGGTCAGATAAGGGTGTAATTGAAGAATTATTTTGTTGATTGGCAGTTTGCATTTGGTGAAAGCAAAAAATATTTAAATAAATTTTTTGAAATGGTCGGATAGACCTATCTAAATAAAGAAAAAATTTTATTAAGATTTTTAACAGAATCCAAGCTTTAAAAAAATTCGAGTTGTAATTTACTATTTAGGTGGAGTGTGTCTTGGGACTAACAGAATAATACAAGGAATAAAATAAAAAATTTTAGCAGTAAATGCAAAAATATCCAGAGCTGCTTCGAAAGTTTGATTTTCGACTCTCGGAGATTTTTTGGAACAGCTCTAAGTCAAAATTGTAAATTGATCTTCTCAAACTTCAATAAAAGTTTGAGAAGATATTTTGCTACTGGGAAACAAAACTTCAAAAAATACATGTTTGTAATCTTGACTTTAAATAAAACCTGAATTAATAATAAACTTGAATTTTCAAGCTTGAACTTAATAAACTTAAACATAAATAAACTTAAACTTAAATAAACTTGAAATTAAATAAACTTGAATTTTCAAGATTACAAACTTGGAAAAACAAGAAAAAACTAAGCAAATTAAAACAGCATAAAAATCAAAGATTATTATTTTAACTAGATTTAAAAACAAATTTTCACTTTTAGATTAAAAACAGACGCAACAATAAAGCAGATAAGCGCGCAATAAATATTTATTTATACAAGTAGTGGTTTTTATTTAAAAATGGGAAAGAGTAGAATCGGGAAAACTAAAAAAATATGAAAAAGCGACTGGAGAAGCAGACAGAAAATCGTGTTCAATAATTTGCCAATGGAAAGGGAATGGACGAGAGAATAGTTAAATATGTAGAAAATTAATTTGCTCAGGAAAAAAAGAGTGGGGCAAAAGGACCCTCCTACAATATTTAATGTCAATATTCATCCTCTTGATTAAAATCAGAATTTTGAAAAAAAAATTTTAGTCACGAGAAAATTGTACATATAAAAATAGAATTTAAATAAGTGTATGTTGACCAAATGAAAATAATTGACAAGTTGACCATTTTGAGAATAATAAACTTGGAATAAAAATAAACTTAGAAACTTGGACAAACTTAAGGGAAATAAACCTAAATTAAAAATAAACTTGCAAACTTAAAAACGCACACTTGAAAAACAAATAAAAACAAACTTAATTTAAGTTTGTAATCTCAAGTTTTAATAAACATATAAAAATAAACTTGCTCAACAAAACAAAGCTAAACAACAATAAACATTCTCTCTCTCCATATTGTTGAAAACGGAAGCTATTTAATATATTAAATTATATTCTTTTTGATATAAGAAAAGCAACTGATCATGTTTAAATATGGGGCGCATCTCCGAAAAGAACGAACGCTTTTGCTTTGCTTTAGCTCATCCGAACGGGCGAATTATGCAATGAATTTGGGGGGAAAAATAAAAGAAGAAAAGAGGACTACTAACTCTCCAAAAAAGAGAGATGTTCGCGCCTGTCTTGTCTTCAAAAAGCTTTTTCTTGTTTTTATAAAAAATAAGAGCAATATAAGCAAAAATACGAGCATCAAGCCAAAAATGTGTGCCCAGAGAGCCTTATCTCATATTAAAAACAAGAAAATTTGGGGCGTGATCGCGCGATGATTTCGCTGCGCATTCACATGCAGCAAAGTCAGGCCGAAGGCGATAAAAATGTTGTTGAAGAAGCTCTTATGTAACATTAAAAACAAGAGGTGAGTGGAGTAGATATCTCAATATTTAGACAATAATTGAAGGAGAAATAATTTAAAAAAACTTGTTAAAGAGACCAAAAATCTTGATAAAATGAAGAAACAATTTATTTTTTACTTGGATATATGTAAAAATAAAAATTTACATCTTAAAATATCGTGTATGGGTACCGAACATGATTATATTTAACGATACATATCAAAAAAGATATCAAAAGCTGGACAAAACAAAATTTCAGAATAAAAAAGAAGCAATTATCAGGGATATCATGACGCGAGAAAAAAGTCGGTCGGGTTTTCATACCGGATTTCGGTTTAAAAAAGTCCGGGTTCCGTTTTAGGTCTTCATGGTAACTCGCTTTTTTCTTGTTTTTGCAACAAAAATATGTTGCAAAAGAAGAAAATAGCGCGCATGGGTCGAACAAGGTGTTAAACCCTAAGGTGTACAACCTTAGTCCCTAAAGGTGAATTAAAAGGAAGCATTCAAAATTCAGAAATCAGTTACATTTTAAGTTGGTTTTTCTTAAAAGATATGAAAAAAAGTTTAGAAGCAAATAGCTAAAAAAAGAGAATTTCAAAAGATTGTGTTAAAAAACGTGTTTTTAATGCAAACCTTTCGGGACAGTTTTGCTTTGTAAGCTAAAAGAGAGCTATGTATATTTAACAAATAAAAAAGCGCACACCGGTGGGACTAAAACTGCTGAGCGATTTTTGGCTAAAATACAGAATGAATGGATGGATGCGCTTAAAGGCTTTTTTTTCTTGTTTTTTTTCTTTTCTTTCTAATCTTTCCCGTGCAGCATTTTGGAAGGGACACAAGCATTAAAGATGATTTGAAGGAGTGAATTGGTAGGAGGGAGGGGGAGGGGGGGTCGAACGAGGTGTTGTTATGTTCACCAAAAGATCTGGTTTTTCCACAAAACTCTTCTCTATCCTCCCCAAAAAATCGTTCCCTTAACAAATTGAAAATTGGAAGACGGGAGAATAAATAAATTTTTTGTTGATCGGCCATGGGATTGGGTGGGGGAAAAAGCTATAGAGGAGCTATAGAGGATCCTTCTGGCGATGAAGACGCTTATACGTGTGTGTGGTGTATTTACGTGAATATAGGGGGGGGGAGAAGAGGGGAAGATGAGAAGGAAGAAGAAGGGGGGGGGGGAAGAAGGGAAAAAATTTTGGGAAGGATTAGCTGAAGCTGTAGAAATGAGAGAGAAAAATGGGCCGCTGGGCCGAAAAGCCTTCTTTTAATGGGCTGCCCTTCATTCCATGCAAAACGCGCAAGAGGAACGCGTTTTTCATCCCAAAAGATGAAAATTGAGGCCCTAAAGGTGAATGAATGTCCTATGCGCGAAAACATGCATGAGAAGGAAATGGTGCATTTACGGGAGGATGAAAGTGTGTCATTGGGACTTTTTAAATTAATTGATGGGAATAAAGCAGGAAATTTGAAAAATCTGGAATTTTTTGGAATAATTGGAAGATTTAATTAGTTAAGAAAAGAATTCTTTATTTTATTTGTTAATGTGAGTATTGGGGGAAGAAAAAAGGCAGAGTGAATTTACGAACCTAGATAATTGGAATTATAGTTGGGGTTTCGAGTTAAGCCGACGTTCGAGTCACTTTTTCTGGCTTATTTTTATCAGGCCGGCCCGACCGAGTCTTTTTCAGGCCAAAATTCGATGCCCGACTCGATCTTTCGGACCGGACCGGGCCCCCAGCCTTAATTGGGATATAGGGTTTTGCTGGAAAATAAATGAGAAATATTGGTACCAAAATTCGTACTCGTACCTGTGTACCTTTGACGAAGTACATGTACTATTACAAGCAAATTTAAAAATTCCAACCAGATTTTAAGCTAAGGAGTTTCACTTAGAGGCATGGATAAATGAACGAAGATATTATATCCAAAAAAAGAACGTGGGATAATATAAATATTCTAGTATAATTATTAGAGGTTGAAAAAATTTTTTTTTAATTAAATTGGTGTCAATAACAAGGAACGAATTCAAAAAAAGAAATGAAAGGTTTAAAAAATCTAGTTTAAAGCAGGTTCTGCCGTTTTATTTAAAAAATAATGACAGTCTTTATTTGCAAAATTGAGGGGAAAAAGCGACAAATCCGCATTTTTCAAAGCTTCTTAACTCATTTGGATTGAAAAAAAGAAAGGAAAAATGAGGGAAGAAGCTTTAAAAAATTCTCAAAAAAGGTACACGCGGCAGTTAAAGTCAAGTACATGCCTAAAATCGAGTTTTGCATCCCGCCGCGCAATGAAGAAGCGAGACACTTGAGTAGCTTATTTTCTTAGGGATACTTGGGGAGACTTGGGGATACTTGGGTAAAGGCTCTGAAAGGCTTAGAAAGGAAGAGAAGGAGGATGATCACAATTAGAGTCCTTTTAATTTTGGAGATACTTTAGTAAGCCTTAGAAAAGAGGAGAAGGGAAGAGAAGGGAGGGATGATCACAATCCAGGGGATACTTGGGTAGAGGCTTAGAAAGGAAGAAGGGAACAGAAGGAAAGGAGGATGATCACACACTAGTAGTCAAATATCTTTAAAAGATCTTCTTAGCTTTTACTCTTAAAGCCTTCCAATCCTTAAAGACGGACAAAGCACCAAATTTAGCTAAGCTAGCAAGTATTCTCTCCTATATATAATTACCACGCAAGGCGAGAAGAACGTAAAAAAAGGAGAAGAGGCCAATTTATACCCTAAAGAGAGTTAGCGAGTTTCAAAAATTGCTGACCAACCCCCAAAAAAATTCTCTTTTGTCATTGCAACAAATGAACAAAAAATAATAGTCTAAGAGTATATTGTATTTATAAAGTAACCGGACTTAAATCGGGTTTGTGAATAGAAAACAATTTTCTTTTTTTCTTTTCGTGAGCTAAGACAGGTGCAAAAAAAATCAAGGAAAAGTTCACAAATAAATTTAAAGAAAAACTAAAAATCACACAAAAAACGCAAATATGTATACATAGTGAACTGAACTAATGAATTATTTAAAGCTTCAATTTTTTATAAGCTAGGCCTATGTTTTTCGTTTTCCTCTCAAAATAGAAGCTTATGGAACAGATTAATATGTTACATAAATTCAAAAAAAGTCGCAAGTAAGTAAAAAAATAACTATAAAAGCCAAAATCTTAATTCAGAGAAAAAGGGCCATTTCAAACAACGTCAATACTTTCCTGTATTGAATACTTTACTGTTAATAAAACACAAACTAAATTCACAAAATTAGGGAGTTGATAAATAACTCCCTATCCAAAAATAATGTTGAATCCAGATGATGATATATTGAACTTCACTGTTATTCTAGAAATTTAAAT